ACTTCTGACACTGCCTCTTGGGAGAGTTTTATTCCAGCTCCTCTGTAAGCTACACGACGCTATCATCCATACGGGTCCTTTGTCCGCTGTTGTAGGGATGAGATGCAGACGACGACCTCTCAGAACTAAAAACGTATATTGAGAGGGTTAACATTGAAAACGAGAAATAGGTCAGGGGATGTAAAAAATGAGACTCAGGCGGTGGCTCGTGGTAGTGGGTCTAGGACCCCGTGCTTGTCTCGTGTTAAGAGGAAACTTCACTTCCTAACGCAGCCTCTACTTATGGTACAGCTGGAATCAGCAATATCCTCAAGGCTCAGTCGAGATCTGGGACTAGTCAGGAGAATAACCCGAAAGGCTCCCGTGAGCCCCTTCATCGAAGAAGAGGCCTAGATCGCCAGGAACAACTCCCGAATACCGAGCGCGACAGTACAAAAGGTTATGCCCCGTATCCGGTGTCTGGAGTGCTGGAGGCTGCTCGTTTGCTCGAGCGGTTGAGGGGAATAGACTCCACCGCATGATTGTCCGTGAAGGACATGAGGCGTCATTATTTATACGAAACGAGCCCCTGGAGCTTAGCGATGCTGTGGGGAATTGGTGAGGCGCCCTGCCAAGGCTCACCACGTGTCAGGAGGGAGGTTGGTTGATGTTAACAGCTATCGACCAGGCCTCGCTCGACTGGCTCGTGGGAACAATCGACCGAATCCGACCCTGGGAGGGAGTGCGGTTGCTCGTGATAGACGTTTCTACTGTACAGACTGTACCTGCACACTATATATATATATATTATATATATATATATATATATATATATATATATATATTATATATATATATATATCCCGGGACGACTATATACATCATCAGATGACGAGCGATACGCTGATCTATCTAGAAGCTCTAAATCTAGGGCTCTATACCCGTTGGGGAAGGGTCGTAAACCGGTGTGAGGATGAGAGATCCCTACAACTGATTGTGAAGATGCACCCTAAGCTGTTAACTTTCTGAAGACGGTCCGCCTTCACATTAAGGCGGTAGAGGCCAAGGTCACTGTCCTCAAGAGGCCAAGGTGGGTCCTGAGGCGATAGGTCGTGTCGTAACAGAGCCAGAGCAGGTTGGCCAGGCGGAGGGCGCGATTACAGGTAATCCCAGTTCTGTGCCACTTGTTGCTGAGATGGTGGACCCTGAAGTTTTGCTCCCCGGGACTAGAGAGAGCTCTAGTCCCGGTCTAGAGAGAGGAACTTTGCAAAAGATATATTAAAAAAGTGTGCAATCGCAGCTTGATGCTTGCCAAAGCACTCTCAACTTCTTTTCTAGCTGCAAAATTATTTTGCTATATCGACTTCTTAAAGCACCCTATTATTTTGCTCACTAGGAAGTTTGTATAAATTTTAAGATAATTTAATTACATCTTCCAGTTGTAAATATTAACCTTTTTCTAATTGCCTTTTAAAGAGTAATCTTGGAGCTGCATCTCTACTATTTGCAAAATTTCGAAGCCGTCTTCTATATTCTTCCAAGACAGTACAGCTAGTCTATTAAAGATATAGTATTATAAGTTTTGTTTCTATGTAGAACTATGGCTTTAAAAAGCCTTACTGTTATTTCACTGAAATTGTTGATTTGGTGGCCATGTGGTGATGCGTAACTATAAGTGAGGCACCAATCTTCCTTTCTTTTTCAATATTCAGTAATATATTTCTTCCATTGCGGAAATCGTTTGTTTTTAAGAATAATCTTAAATGACTCTGTGGCATTCTCTATAGTCGATTCTAATAATGTAGCTTGAAAAGTCTTGAATAAAAGTGGTTCGTCTTTGGGTATTCCATTCCTTTTTTCATACAGCCAGCGTGAAATTGATTGGAATATATGAAAACGGCATAAAAGTGTTTGTGATGCTGACAAAAGTTTTCTTTCTTTCCGCGTCATTATAATCTGTAATAAATATTTTAGGATAACCCATTCCACCGAACGCATTTCGTATCGACCGTTTGAGCAGTTGGTATGCTGCAGCATAATCTTCAAATGTTTGACCTTTGGTAATAATAAATGCCAAAGGCACTACTCCTATTCCACAAGAGGTTAACATAAACGAAACAGAATCGTTTAATGCATCGCAAGAAGCTGTGGTATCTATCAAAACATATTTTGCAAATGGGAGATTGTGTGCTCGTTGCATAATAGGTGTTACAACAATGACAGCAAACAGATTTTTCATTATAAATTCCTTCTGCTGCATAAAAAATTTCAATTTTTTGTTTCATTTTTCAAAAAAAAGACGAAAAAGGTCTGTAATTTTAGAGACTTTTACCGAGACTCTCTTTACCTCCAAAACTACAGTTCCATCGTGAGGTCCCAAATTTTCGGTTCTCCATATTATTATGCCAATATTGCACTATACAATATTTGGATTAATTTCTGAATTTGCTACAAGTTTACTGCCAAAGCCAATTTCAAATTCCAATTTGAACTCATGATAAACTAGAGACTCTTTAATTCCCATTCCATTACCAAATAAAAAAATATATATTTTTCTTTTGTACCAGCGAATGGACGAAGGTATGAAAGGCTTTCAGCTGATTCAAAATTATAATTATGCTCGCTAATTATACTTGAATACCTACGTCCTTAAATAAATATATTCTGATTATTTCCTATTATGTATGGAAATAGTATATATCTCTGTAAATAACGACTGTACACAAAAAACAAATTATTAACAGTTGTTTTTATTACAAAAAACAAATGAGTAACTAAAAACAATTGAATTTTTTAGTTAGCAATGTACTCTTTCATTAAGTACTAATCATGGCGAAGGACATAGAATTTCCTATTAATATTACATTTTAAACATTTAAATTTGTTTAAATATATTTTGTTTTATTTCACTGCATTGTTTTAGCTTTCTTTAATCATGCATTTATTTTTTATTTTATTAAAAAACACGCATGAGACTGCGTTTACTACTCACTAGTGTGTGATCACGCGATCTGTCGTTTCATGTGTATTGTGTCGTTACATTGCATTTGTCGTTTATTTTTTCATACCTCTGCGCGATCTACCACACCAATCAATGCCTGTATTCCAGAGATAAGAAAGTTACGCTTTTAACAAGGGCTTTAAAAAAAATGTACAAGGAATTAGAAAGACAGGGTATAAAGAAATCCAACCCAAGTAAAAACCCACAAAAGGTTATAGGTGCAAGAGACGAGAAGGAAATTCCGAACCTCACAGAACACTTAAGAATTGCTATAGAAAATGTCACACTGAGAGTGCAGTACGGGTAAGATATGGCAATGCTTTTCTTATGGAGAATAAACGCGCAGGGTTGTCGGTTTTCTCCAGCTGTTGATTGCTCATTGTCTTGTAACAGGACCGGCTTGGATAAAATGCATCTGCCGGTAGTACGAGTAAAATATTTTATATCATGTATACGTATACAGTAGAATAAAAAGGCATTGATGAGTTATTGACAACGAAAACTATGAATTTTGCATATAAAACGTCAACATGAGATATACAATTGAATCATATTCATAAGAGTAACATTTGAACACCTCTTTACAAGAACAACATACAATAACTGTAGTTTTAGAAGCAGCGCGTGCTTTTAAAGATCAATACGATAAGTATCATCTTGATGAGTATGCTTCACAACATAATGTTTATATTTTAGGCTTCCTCCATATCACAGCGAATTGAATCCTATAGAAGTGGTGTGGAACCAAGTTAAGCGATATGTAGGTACCCATAATGCCACTTTTAAAAACGACGAGGTACGCCAGTTGATCGACGACGGTTTCGCACGCGTCACAGAGCAAAATTGGTGCAATTATGTCACTCATGTTGTTGAGAAAACGGAAACTGAAATGTGGACTGCGGACAACCTGCAAGATGACGTAGAACAATTGATAATACACGCGAACACAAGGGAGAGTAGCGAAAGCGAATCCGACATCTCGGATGTAGAGGACGACTTTAGTATAATTAATTGAATATCTGTGAGTAACCACGATTATTTTACACTGTATAACCAATAAAATACATTTACCAGTCCAATCAGAGTATGGGCTTTTCGGATATAGCGCTGGGTGCACGGAAATCGAGTTCCCGGAGGTTCCACCCTGTATATTTATAAGCTATCAAGAAATGTAATTTAAAATATATTTGTTAGTTAATAAAGTATAAATATAATATAATGTTAAATAACTTACACTATAAACCTTATACCTGCTCATCTGGTCAAGTGTGGACAAGGAAAACCATTATCCCATATGGAATAACACAAGGTTTCGCTGAAAACTACCAGGTTGCTATGCCAAGGAACTAGGTAAACTTATGTTGTGTGTAAAAAATGCGAGACTGTATTATGTTTTAACAAGGACAAAAACTGCACTTCAGATTTCCACAAAAAAAAATTTCATAGTAGTAAAATTTCGCAGTGATTCAAGTGCGCAACTTATTTTTTTAATAACATCGCCGGGATTAAAAAATGTGCAAAGCTTTGTCGATATTCCCGTTCCTGATAATTTTTCAGATATTTACAAAAGAAAAAGTTTTTCTTGGATATTGGGCTGGGTGTACGGAAATCGAGTTACCGGAGGTTACACCCGGTATATTTATAGCTATCAAGAAATGTAATTTAAAATACATTTGTTAGTTTAATAAAGTATACAGTTTTATAATAAAATTCTCGCTAAAAACTTAAGGTCTTTTTATTCAAATTCATGCCTCTTATTTGGCTACTTGAAGGCAATTATTTTATCAATATATTATTTTATAATAAATAACAAAGCCCGGCGTAGAGATCTGGGTACGGTTCTGTGACTACAACTTGGACCTGTTTGTATCGCCAAACACAAGGCGTGAAATCCGGCAATTGTGCATTCCTATATTAGCCGTACTGCATTCTCGGTGTGACATTTTCTATAGTAACACAGCTGCAGTACTCCTCTTGATATTTTATAACTATTAATTATAGTGTAATAAAACAAAATTTTAATTTATAAATGAAGCTTTATTAAATATTCAAATACTTATATAAATAATACACCTCGGTAGGTCGGTGCGTGAGTAGACAGTCGAAGAGATACAAAAAGAAAAATAATAAAAATAAAAGGCGTTACTGACGATCAGTGGATCGCAATTTTTCTTCTACCGCCGTTATACTTGCTTCCGCTAAATCTGTCGCTTGGATAGATTTCTGTATTACCAAAGCTTTTTTAAGATATTCGAATGAGCTGGAATAAAAAAAATGTAATTAGTCAACAGTAAAAAACAAATAATTCTACTATTATAAGCTATGCAATGATGAAACTTTACCAAATGTTATATCTATTAATTCGTTATAAATTCGCATTATGTTGGATATGTTTATATTATTTATTGTAAGAGGCATACATTCTTGATTATGTGAATGATAAACTTGATAAACTAGTGAATTTGTTTCTTACACACTATCAAACACAAGTTTGGACCATGATCTAACTGGAAATAAGATGATGTGACCAACTCAATGTATATTAATTTTATTAATAAAAATGAAATCAGACATTTCTAAATTAATCCCAAAAACTTGAAATTTATGCTAGCATACATTTTTTTATGCTACTTCCATTTTTAGTCCTTAAAATTTGTGAGTAACAGTGTCAGAATAGTGACCAGGGGTTTAACCCCCAAAACCTCCCCTGGGTGCGTCACTTAATGCATTTGCTAATATTAGTATTGTAAAATATGTGAATGGAAAAGTTCATTAAACTATGGGTAATAATACATAGGACTTTTGAAGATTAACTTGATATTCTCAAAGGCATAAAGAGATAAAATTGTGGTTGAACTTTTGTCAGAAATCTGATGGTCAACAGGAGGATTAAATATTTTGGAATTATTTTACTTTCTAGGTGTATACTATATAACTGATTACTAGGTAATTTTATATACAGAAACTGTTGATTTTTCTTTTTTTCTCAATGTGGAACAAATGTTAAATGCTTGTTAAACTACAGTATAAACTGTCAATAGACAATTTGAATTAACTATTGGCAAACATATTTTTGAAAATGGTTTATGGAATGTAGAATAAAGAGTTATTTATATATACAAACAAAATTCTATAAGATACCTTATCTATCATTTAGAATTGTTATTCTATTGAAAATATTTATTTAGCTGATAACAGTATCAGAAACAATGTTTCATGAGAAATAGAACATTAAAAATTAACAAATTAACAAATGACCATGTCTTATTCACGAAAAGTGAGAATGTACTGAACCATTCCATACTTCAATCGAGGGGAAAGAGATTTATCATTCCAATAATCTGGGTTTTCTGTATTCATATACCTGTTATGATACCTCTATTAACCCTAGACTGGTATTGTACATAAAATTTATGATCACATAAATTAATTATTTACATTTAAAATTACAAACTTGATAGCACTGCAGTTCTCTGCCTGCACTTCATCCCCTCCTTCCAGCTATGCTTGCTCCAATCTAGTACCCATCGATTCAATATCTAGCTGTTACAGATATTTGTCAATGCTAGATAGCATGATCATATATCGTTTTCTGGAACACTGCACATACTTTTACGCATTGATACCAATAGGTGCATATTATACCACCATTTTTGACATATTGATACAAATAAGGGGCTAAAATGTCAAGGTATGGTTTATGGGTGGAAGAGATGGAGAGGGCACTGTTATAAAATAGTGTCAGTGAAATCGAAGATTGTAACTAGAGTCGAATCCAAAACGGAAAGTGAGTGGAGAGATCAACGGTGATCTAGAATGGTTGCCACATAAGGACATGGAATGCATCTGGTGGATAGTCTGCAAAAATTTTTTAAAAAACAGGATTTAGAAATCGAAAAGCCAAATATTCCAAAACATCTTAAACTCAATGTGATAAGAACAGAAGAGAGGGAAACTTAATCAGGACCTGGGAGTAGATCAGAGGTTGACACAACCTTAGAAGAAATAACTTTTCAGGTGGGTCATATATTTTGCATGTGAAGTATAAGTATTTTTATTAGGTTTTTACCCCAGTTAGAGACAATTTATATGGAAAAATGGGTACGAATGATTTTCCAAACCAAGTGTCAAGGAGAGAATGAATATTATATATGTAAAACCAGGACCTTCACAGCAATTATCAGATATAATTGATTCAGTACACATCTTCAAAGTATTTTTTTGACGATATATTGAATATAACGGTAGAATACACATCAAGATTTGCTCCGCAAGACAAAATTATGATGAGAACTTAACTGAACCTGACTTGTTTCAGAAACAACTTTGCTTAGATTTTGATGATACTAACCTATTCGATAAAAAAAGACAAGTGTCTATATTTGCATCAATAGGAGATATTGGGAATAAGTTTATAGACGCACCTAGAGCCTCATACAAATCAGGTTCATATGTAAACCACGGTAAATAACACATAGGAAGATCCAACCTAACGCATGTGGTGTGTGCTGTTTATATCCGAAGAAGTGGACATTGGAGTGATTATAGATTAATATGTTGAAACATTGATAAAATCAGTACACTGAACAAATATCAATATTACCATAGACAACTGGTTTACCAGTATTCCTTTGGCTGAGAAGTTACTGAACAATCCTTATAAACTTACTGTCATTGGAACTATAAGGAAAAACAAAAAAGAGGTACCAAAGGAATTGATACAAATATATAAAGATAGAAGAGTTCATACTTTCATGTTTACACACAATAAAAAAACACCCCTAGTATCATACAAGCCTAAAACTATCAACATGTTCTCTTACTGTAAACCATGCATGAAACAGGAACTGTAAATAAAACAACAAACAAAACAGAAATAATACATACAATACCAAGGAGAGTGCTATTGATACATTTGACAGATGTGTCAAAACATGAACTGTAATCTCAAAACCAAAAAATGGCCAATGTGTATTTTTACAATTTATTTAACACAGTGTGCACTTTAAGTTAACTCAGCCTTGCCAATCTTCACATTTGGCTCAAAATCCATAATTTAGTATATCTCTGCGCACAATGATTGAAGAAGTACTGGGAAATACACAGCAACCTGCGTAATGGGAACATCCATAGTCACAAAAAGGATGTGGAACTTACTATCATATGTTTCCAACAGCAAAGAGAAGCATGACCACAACCTACAGTTTCAGGTGTAGTAAACCCCATTATGTGGTGCTTATCGAAATAAAATCTGTACAAAATGTATTTAAAGTTTTTTTTGTTTGGTTTTTTCTATGTTTGCTCAAAACCCTTTGCCTAGTTACTATTCATTTTGGTTCCCACCTTGGCTCCTACTTTTGTTTCCAGTAAAAGAAAATATATATTTTTGTACTCTAGTTTTTTTATGTTAGTTGAATGTATTTTAAGTTACCATTAATGTTAAAGGTAATGGATTTTGACAAGAGCTATGACCTTGTAAATAACAGGTAAACTTGTGCACTGAATCAGCATGACACATAGCTCTTATTAAAATCCATTACCTCTAATACTTATATTTATTTTTCTTTAATAAATGTTTTCCATGACCAATTTATCCATTACCTCTAATACTTATATTTATTTTTCTTTAATAAATGTTTTTCCATGACCAATTGTGTTTTATTAGTTTAGGTCAATTAGGTACTTAAAGCATAGAAGTATAGCCATAAGTAGTATTTTATGTTTCAATACCAATAAATATATGATTAAATATCAATATCAGTCTAGGATTAAAGTTAATACTTTGAAATAATTAGTGTTTCATTATTGCATTATCTTTGTTTTAAATCAAATATCTACCTAGCATACACCATCTTCTTTTTGACAGATGCAGTTTCTGGACACCATGACATCAGGAATAACTTTTGTTTCTTGGTTGATTCTGAGGTTCCCTGGCACTGGTGCATGTATTCAAAATCAAAAAGTCCATAACGGCATTCATTAGCACCTCCCTCTTGCAGTTTAGTTAAGAAGTCATCATACTCTTCATTTCTTGCCCCTATGTGTTCAACATCAATCTGCTTGCCATCCTTGATATAGAAAATTGCAAATCTGTGTTTTTTGTCCCTTTTGATTTCTTCATGGACCTTTTTGCAGGAATCTGCTACAGTTACTCCTGATGCCTATAATAAAAATATGAAATAAAAGTATAATTTAGAAAATCTCAATTTTATGAAATACTAACATTTTTTTTTAGTCTGTCATACATACTAAAGAGAATTTGGATGTTTGTATATTTATAAAAGGATGATAGATGTTGTGGTAATTAGTGATAGTAATATATTTCTTATTAAACATTCTTACAAAAGAAAACTGAGAATTCAGTATTTTAAAAACTGAATTATTATAAATAACCTAGTAGTAGGTAGTAACCTACATTCATTTATCAGTTTTATATGTTGACTTTCTAGGTACAATTCATATTCATTTGTACATTTTTTGATGCCTTTCTAATTTATTTCTGTGAAATAAACCTCCTGTATCCTTAAAACCAGTCAATTTTCACTGTGTAGAGAAACCTATCAAATTCATTATTACTATCTTATCATTAGATGTGTGATTAAAACCATCAAAAAATTTTATAAGAAACAAATTGTTCACAAATTCTTAGAAACATCAAATTTCCAAGTCATCTTCCTGTAACAGTATTTGGGGAAATACAAAATGACAAAATTCTTATCTTTTTTTTGTATTACCACTTTTTGACAATGTAACCATTCTCACATTATATTTTTAATATTCAAGGTATAGTAGGTAGGTATAGTTTTCCTATCTATTTAATAGTTTTAATTAAAAATGATAGAAGTATAAATAGAATCATGTCCTCTACAAATAGGCATCTAAAATTTGTGTAAAGCTAAGTGTTAATCCTTTTTGCATAGGTTGTCATTTACTATTATAATTTTCAAACATAATTTTAAATACTTTTTAAACCTTTTAATAGAATTTCAAACAAAATTGATTTATTTGTATTACTTATTTGATACCTAAAATTACTATTTAATAAAAAATACCTCATTTCATCACAAAAATGATTGTGGTATTGGATTCCACTATCTCATATCCTGTATCTTACAGGAAGTGAGTATGTTACCAATAACTGTAAAATGATGAATCAATGAAGTAGCTAAAAGAACAGTTAGATATGCAAACAGTTTGTTACAATTTTATACAAGCATATAATATCATGATCAGGTTTCTTGTAAAAGTTACATTAGAAAAATGTATGCTTTTCTAAAAAAATTATATTAGTAACTATAAGAAATTAAAAAGCTGACTTAATGCACAAATTATACAAATGAATAAAAATAGATAACATATCGCACATGCTAAAGAAAAGTGACACTATACGAAATTTACGTATTTTGTACCGATGGCGGCATCTACTAGAAAATTTAGAATTACACAATACAATACAATTATCATTTTTCTAGTACAACTATTGCCAAATAGATGGCATACATCCGTTTTGTCATTTTCTGAAAGATGATCTTCCACAATATTGAAAACCGTCATTATGTCGGTGGTGACGAACGTGATTACTACAACTTAACCTTCAAATTGTGAAATAACGTCTTCTTCATTTAAGGACACTTTACCTGTATCAGTTTTAAGGTTAGTATTGACTTTGCAATTAGGAATAACGTCACTTTATTTTTAATGTCACTATGGCTTTTGGTTTGTAGTATTAATAGCTAAATTAGCCGCTTCCAAAAGCGACATTTATTGTTTAGTGCCACTGTTCCGTATACATCTTGTAAATATAATTGACTTTGTGGTTAGCAATAATGCCACTTTTTCTTCAGTGTCATTGTAGCTCTTAATTTATAATATTGATAGCTGTAGCAAGTGCTACCATAGCGTTATGTTTTGTTTAGTGACATTGTTGTTTATACGATTCTTTAAATATATGATTACATTTGGCTTTTATGTCGTAATTTACTGCAAACTCGAGACTGTTAATTATTAAAATTTTTAAACACGATAGTTTGTGTCGTCGTTTTTTTTTTATTTGGTTTATTCAATCTATTAATAAGAATTTTCATTTTGTAACAACGATAATAACACACTAATCATATGGATACTATTATCATAATTTTTAAAATCCGTTCTTTGTAAATAAAATCTGAGAAAAATTGTAAAAATAGTTATTTTGACTATAAGTTCACCTTTATGCTTCTGATGCTCAATATTTTCTTTTAGACTTCAGAATGCCGTTTCGTGGACGAATATTGGTAGAGCTAGCTAATAAATCTGTCGATCTACCTAACTCAACACAAATATACGAGAATTGTGATATTGCACATGATCCAATTCCAACGGAAACGCAAATTATTAACGAGGAGGTTTTACTGTCAACAGCATCTAATGTGGATGACCCCAATTCAAATACTCCCATATTATTGAATGATACAGATCTAAGTGAACACAATAATAATGCTGTGGACAATGTTTCCGATTTTTCTCCAGTGTCAGACGACGATAAAGAATATTTGCCATATTCGTCCAACACAAAGAAACGCCGTTACAAAAATTTGCTGGCACCATCCAATACAAAAAAAAAAACTACGCAGGGCGTCTTCTAGCTCCGACTCCTCTTCAAGCTCTGATACGTCTTCTAGCACCACTTCGTCTTGCACAAGCTCATCTTCCAACTCAGGTTTGTCAACTAGTTCAATATCAGGCACTCATAAAAGCGAATCAGAAGAACATCCCGTTTATGTTGCTACGGAAAACAACATTTCTGTCGAAAGCATTAACATGCGACAAAATGCTCTTGAAAATTATGATGATATTTTAGGTTTGGTACAACCCGACAATCAATTAGCGCTACCCTCAGTTACCCCGTCAGATTTTGCTACAGGCATTCAAAATCTGCCCTCCAAACAAGCAGATGATTGCGTTGTGCCAAAAATAGTTAGAAGACCTGGACAAAGTAGGAAGGCAGTTGCTAAAACTTTGAGAAATTCAGGACAAGAATACCTGTCAGCTTCTCGTAATCGTAGGGTTATACCTGCAAGAAAAATGGGATCTCCATGTACAACTCAATGCCGTTTAAAATGTGCTGACCACATTTCAGAAGAAATTCGAAAACAGATATTTGATAGCTATTGGGCTATGGGATCGCTGACACGCCAGAAAGAATTTATTGCAAGGAGTATGGTACCTGTTATCCCAAAATATCAGTACAAAATGGTTAACAGTAAGAGGAAACTTAAACAATCTTTTCATTTGAAAGTAGATACAGCTAAGACAGTGCGAGTATGTAAAATTTTTTTTAAGAATACTCTTGGAATATCTGATCGTCCAATAGGTACTGTAATATCAAAGATGGACAACAAAGGAATAATTGATACAGAACAGAGAGGAAAACATGGAAAACATGCAAAATTAAATGATAGCTTATTATCTGCTGTACGAAATCACATAAATGGAATTTCACGAATAGAAAGTCATTATTTAAGACAGCAAACCACCAGGGAATTCATATGATGGAGGTAAAACAGTTTTCAGACCTCTATAGAGATTATAAAGAAGATTGTATTAGAAAAAATCTTTCATTTGTGGATATTCAAATTTATAGAAAAATTTTTAAAACTGACTTCAACATTAGCTTTTACGTCCCAAAAAAAGATCAATGTGATCTTTGTGCAGCATACAACATCGCTCAAGCAGGTAATAAGGAAGCTCTTCAAGAAAAATATAATATTCATATTTCTGAAAAAAGAGGAAAAGTCGAGAAGAAAAGAATAACGATAAACTATTGGTATGCGACAATGTAATAGTAGCATGTTAGACTACAGCTGTTTTGCCTGTCCAAGAGGTGATGTCTCAGTCTTTTACTACAAAAGTAAAATGAATTGTTTTAATTTCACTATATCGGCAATAGGAAGAGACCACACTGAGTGTTTTTTCTGAAACGAAGTAGAGGGCCAACGTGGAGTAAAATGAAATAGCAAGTTGTGTTCTTAAATATATTAGAAAGATGTCAGAAATGACTGTATCTACTAACCTAAATATTATTTTCTACTCAGATAACTGCAGTGGTCAACAAAAGAACCAATTTATGATTTCTTTGTACGTTTATTGCTTGCTAACTTTAAAAAACTTGACTTCAATTACACATAAGTTTCTAATAAAAGGTCATACGCAAAATGAAGGTGACGCTGCCCACTCTACAATCGAAAGAGAAGTAAAGAAAACTTTAAGGTCCGGTCCTATTTATGTGCCTTCGCAATACATTACCGCAATACGAAAAGCAAAGAAAAAGGCAATCCTTATACTGTAAATGAATTATGTTATAAAGATTTTTACGATATCAAGGAACTTGCAAATCTAGTTAACTTACAACGAAACAAAGAAGGTGAAACCGTAAAACTGAGTGATATTAAAATAATAAGAATTGAAAGAGATGAAGATAATATTAAAGTAACTTACAAAAATTCGTACTACGAAGACTATAAAGAAATTGATATAGATGGTTCTAACAGGTGTAAAACACGGAAAAATCGACCAATGAATCAGCAGTTCCCATTAAAGCAATTATATTCCACACGACTTTCTTTGAGCGAATTAAAGAAAAAACACATACAAAGCATGATAGACCAAAATATAATACCAGAATATTATAGTGTATCGTATTATAATAATATTTTATAATTTTTTATAATTTTTTTCTGACTTTATGTTAATTTCATTCCGATATATTTTCAAACTGTGTAGCCAACGGTATACATTAAATTTTTTTTTTATATTTTTAAGAATGTTGTAACTTGTTATTTTCAATAAAAAATTATGTAACTATAAAAATATTTCACTGCTTATACTATATTAAATGATTTTATTAATTTTTTTACTAGTATCAGACTCGGAAACAGAAAAACTACATAATTAAGTGTATAAGGTAGTAAATAAGGTTTTTTAAAAATTTTTGAAAAAATATATTTCAGTCACTAACTTTATTTCTAAAAGATCATATTTCGCAACAAAGTATGTCAAAAACTTTAAACGCTGATTCTGTAAAATTGATTATTTTGGATAGTGTCACTTTTCTTTAGCATGTGCGATATGTTTTTGGAGGTTTAGTCATAATGCATATTTAATTTTGTGGAAATAATTCTTTTAACTTTTAGAATGAAAGTTTTTTATTGCTTATGAATATATAAATAATTTGCCCAAAATATAATAATGCAGCTGATATGCATGTCCATGGGTATAAACATTTTTAAAATATTGGCTATTATTCTTAAATTACTTTTGTCATCGTAATGTAAAATTGTTACCCAGTCATTGTGAAAAATAATAATTAGGGTAGGTGGTGAAATTTAGGTTTAAATGATGTTAGCAGCCATTTATAAAAAATAATAAATATCAATACATGACATTTATGATTTGACATTGTCAATATAAAGGTTGTTTGTAAACATATTGTTCAAAGTTTTAAGAAAATTGTAGACAAGTAAGGTTATGTATCTATTATTCAGTGAAAATAGCTAACACCCAACCCATAATTTTATTGTGTAGAATACTTTATGATTTTTTTAAATGGTTATATAGTAAACAGCCAATCAACATAACATCAAGATATGTATTTTAAATCAAGCACTACTCACTGGTCTGTTTGATTCTTTTTCTATTTAATTACACAATAAACTCTTTTAGCCTGTATTTGTCGCCTTGTTACCCTGTAGATCTACAGATTACAATGCATTAATTAACATTTATTTTAGTAACAGACTATAAAAAACAGTATTTAGTAAATAGCAATAACCATTCACCAAAACAGTATACTGAACTAAAAAACTAGCTAATACATATTTGTTATCTTACAAAATATAAAAACATTTTTTTTATCTATAATGAAGGCAAAAGTGTAAAAGGAAAGAAATGGTCTTGCCTGAGGGATTTAAAAACAGTGAAGAAAGAGTTAGAACTTTTGTTAATATTCTTGAAACTGCTCCAGAACTACTTTTTTTTAAAGAAAGGTTTCTGACAACAGTAAGGTCTTTGTTAAATGCACAGTGAACACAGTATGTCACACATTGTGAGGGAATTCTTTTGCAGATATCCCTTTGAACAGTTATTCTCTTAAAAGACGATCGAACCTTACTCCAGCGCTCTAGTTCCTGAAGTAAATTCAAATATTGCCAGTACTACATACTGAAGAAAAGTCTTCAGATAACAATGTTATTCTTCTTTCATTTTGAAAGTGTATAGTTGTTAGGAAACTATCTTAATGTAAAAAATAGATCAAAGATGAAATAGAATAATAAAAAAATCTAGGATGACTATATTAGGTGTCGGTACTATAAGATGGATAAGTTAGAAAGCAACAGAATGCATTTCTATAAAAATTTGACAATTTTAAACATACTTGTTTAGTATTATGACACGTCAGATTCATTCTAAGAAAAGAAAAAGAATTCATGCAGCCCATATAAAAAAATATATCTAAAAATAATCAAAAATTTATATAACTTGCTATTTTCAAACAGTTGCATGATCGAGTAAAAACAGCTGTAAAATGTAAGATTTATTTAAAAAATTTAGTCAAAAATAAACCATATTTCGCCACATATGGAGTCATAATACCTCCACCTATCTTATTATTAACCATGAACTAAAAATAGTCTTTTGGCTATGTATTTTTATAACGAACATATAAGATTAGACTGTTAAGATTATTTTGATTTAATTTTGAATTAATTCACAGAAAACCGTTACCTATTTGTTTCTGAATCTGAATTGTTTAAAAAATGTACCCATATCGAATGACAGTCCATATACACGCATGAGTCATTGGGCAAAATCTTTTGATCGTTTTCAAAGAAACAAGAAACATTTTTTTTAATGAGTTAACCTTGAATATACCCTGTACTACTCCGTGAGTCATCTCCACAGGTGTATGGATTATAGGGAAAAAAATTGCCAGTTTTTTCTATGAAATCTATGTTTCCATAAAGGGCGAGGTTACAAAAACTGCCAAACATTGAAGCGAATATCACCACCTTTACACTTACTTTTATAAAAAATGTAAACGCTGTACGATAAGTAGAGATGTTTAAAATGCTTAAGAATATCCTATTTTGGCTAGATTTAACGCCAATCTATAAAATATGGCCGCCCGGCTTTCGAGTCATAAATTCGCCGACTTTTTTGCGATAATAAATAATCTTGGGCAAAAGTCACTATTCACTTTAAAAAAGCAATATAGACACTTACCATATTTGAATTATTTCCTAATACGAAAACTGTACAACTACAAAAACTGAACAATCAGAATCACTGAATAAAATCGACTGTCTGTCTTCGGAGATCTGTTGGGGACGTTGTCCTACCGGCAGTTGGGGGTACGCCTGCGCGAGTCAACTTTACTACGCCAATATAAGTCACCGATATTTTTTTCTAGAAATTACGTTAATTCCCAGAAATATTTTCAATTATTAAATCACCAAAAATTAGATAGATTTATGGCAAACGTCACTACTATTAACACAACTATCAAAATGTTTCCAACGTCAATTCGAACTAGTTTTCCATGCGTACAAAATGCGCCAGTTTTGAATTAAACAAACTTTTTGAATATTTATAACAGTAATATATATTTTATAGTTCAACGGCGAATGTTACTAACAAACATAGAAGCAATTGTTTTATATATGCTAAAATGATAATAATAGCTTTATAAGTAGTGATATGAACAAAAAATTAAGAACTTCAAACCCCGCAAGTATTCTCGCGATTTTCAACCAATCTAGAAGCTGGATTTTCTTAAATGCCCATAAAAGGAAGAGAGGTGCCGCGGTAAAATGGCCGCCACGACTTGAAAGTTAGCGCCCCGCCCTCCAATTTCATTGATTTCTTTAGTAGGGTGAATATCTGCTCTTATCACAAAAATGCAAACTTTTGCATAAATTAGAATATTAAAATTCTATATGAATTAAAAACTTTGGTGCGCTTTCACCGGTTACTAAAATTTATAGTACATCTTCCTTATAAGGAAGTATTCTATATAGTCAAGGTTAATGAACGAGTCTAAAAATGTACCTGTAATGCTATTTTTATGAATCATTCTCTACATATTTTCTTTTGTAATCAAAACATATATTTGCCTACAATCCAATTAAGGTGCGTCCAAAATTGAAAAATAATATAAATATATTTTATTTTTAAAAATAATAAATGCGTCATTATATTTTAACTGAACGATTAAAGCAAAAAGCTTGAAAAATATATACCTATACCTACCGGGGTAAAAAAATTAAGAAAATAAGATTATCTGACACTATTTTGTTATGCTTGTTGTGTTGTGTAAATTAAAAAAAAAGATCAGAATTAAATCAGAAAAATAATTCGCGAAAATGTTTAGAATATCTAAGGAAGGTCGCGTAATATTAGGATCTTTTTTAAACAATGATTAGGATAGCGCCTAATATTGGATAGATGTTTCAAAAACAAAAGGAATAACAGTTGCCATCTATCCACGGAAGGACAGATTATGGTTCAAAAGTTAATGTAGAAGTCGGTGTAGACCATCTTAGCATACTTTAAAATTTATTGAACCGTTCATCCTAAATTTTTTGGGTTTACCTATATTTTTAGCGCTGAAAATATTTCAAAATAGATAAGAACTTTAAATGTTTTCAATCGGTAGTGTAATGCATGTTACAGTTGACATATTTAGGTATGTAGTTTTAGTGATGAAATCTTTGTCTGTTTATCCGTTGATGTTTATCTGAGAAAAATTCTAACCCGCAATTTAAAAATCTGCCAATATTTGGACATAGAAGTATTCTCAATATTGGATATCCAATAAAAGGAAACGTTTTTATGTACCTATACTCAAGAACGTTTTTGTTACCGAATGTCCCCTAAAAAATGAAAGCAATGGAATAAATAGCAAACATGGCCTCTGCAATTTCGGCTATACTCAACAAAGAGATGAGATATTTGAAAGCGGCGAATGCATACGATGTACCGAAAGCTACATAAGAATATTATTGTAAGAAATACAATTCACCGGGATATCTTGAAAAATAAACCCTAGGTCATAAGCCAGTGCTTCCCGAAGCATTAGAAATAGAGTTGGTAATTGGAAAGGAGGTTTTATGGTTTAACGTCAACAGTTTTTTAGCCTTTTAGTTGGCTTTTGCTAACAATTTGCTACATCCATTTTTTAAACCGAAGGATACTGCAGGGAGAAAATAGTTAAGCAATTTTTTAAAGCGTAACAAGAATATTTATTTTTGAACGACAAGGTGTATCTGCAGCGAGAACCAACGGATTCTGTCCGGGATAACAGCAGTTCAACACAAGCATACTAACGATAAACCCTTAAAAGGAAAAAAAAGATTGGAGCATTAGCAACTTCAGAAAGAGGTTAGCTTTTCACAGCTGTAATATGTGTTGCGTAACAACATTTTAAATGTAAACCAGAGTGATGTAAACAGATCCTTCATATTATACATCATAGGGTCAAGGGGGCGCTTTCTTAATTTTAAGAAAATGTGCCCAGCGTTATTCAAGGGGCGAGTTGAGATAAGTTTGAATCGAGCACTGAGTTCAAAGCTCCTCTATGCGCTAGCCGCACTTCAGAAAGTTAAACATAGTCGGAATATTAATAATTTTATTCAACTCTTGTCAATCGCTTCACCGACAAGTTCTCTAGTTTTTTTTGTACATAAATTCAAGACGACTAATCAGCTGTCGTAAGTAAGTTATCGGCATCCAAAATAGTAGTTGTAATTGTTTAAATATACTTGTTAAAATGTTCTTTGCTAAACTTTCATTCGTCTCAGATTTCTGGGTGGTCCTTCAAAAAAGTATAAAGAACTGAACCTATTTCCCTAAGGCCAAAACTTGTTCCCCAAGGGAAAAACTAGAGACCTATGACTGGTCCGCGAACATACCTGCATTTTCTCACAATATATATGAATGGAAACGAACATTACCTACATTCCTCCAATTATTATCTTCCCGAGAAAAAATTTTTAAGCAGGGATTATGGATGAAACACCTTCTGGAGCATTTGGAAGATCTCATCCTTTCAATCAATTGGAAGATGTCAACCGTATTTATTTACGCAGTCGATGGATCACTTTATTTCCTATACTAAGCCATCCGCCGAAGATCCTGCCATTTTATTTTTAGAAGGACAGTATTCGGACACAAGAAACTTGGATTTCATTAATACAGATCGAGAAAATAATACATTGTCATATGCCTTCCTCCATACTCAACTCATAAGATACAAGCATTAGATATAGTCTTTATGGGGCCTTTAATGACATATTATTGCCAACAAATCGAAAACTGGCTAAAAAATAATCCCGGAAGAACAATTTCCCCGTACCGGATTGAGGTTTTGTTTAGAAAAGTATGTTGCGTTCTGCACATACGATGACCTCAATATAACAATTATGGTCATCCTGAAGGGGGGAGAGAATGTATTATGTTCAATCTAGAACTCGCTGGTACCCCCCTTTCGGATTGGGTATGTATATTAAAATAAAAAAAAGAAGAAATGAAAATCAGCGGACTATATAAAACTCTATTTTAAAAAGAGGTGAAAAACATTAAAGAAGGATAAAACTTAAACATTAGTTCATATGAAACGACGCCAAAAAGACAACCATGATAAGAATAGAAAACTGTGGTAAAATGAACAAATATTGTTGATAAAAGTTACACAAAATGCAATCAGACGTAACATATATGAATTATTTTAAAAGTAAATACAAATATTAATAAACTCTGGTGGAGAGGGTAAATTTGTTATAAACTTTCCACATTTAAGAGAGGTGTAGTTGAGCACCTAATTGCTTCAAAATATTTATTAAGGACCACTGAAGCAATAAAACACTAAGGTGTATTTTTCCTTCAATTTATTTATAGCACTGGCGCACCGAGGGGGGTTTTGGGGGTTAAAACCCCCCAGGACCCTATTCGGACACTGTTATTCACAAATTTTAAGGACTTAAAATGGTGGAGGTAGCATAAAAAAATTGCGGTGCCCAACCAAAACCCCCCCAGAGCAAAATTCTAAGTGCTCTACTGATTTATAATGAACTTATAGGGCTGATTCAACTTTGACAATTCTGATTATACTAAAAAGAGTTATACAAATATCATTAGCTTTACAGTGTTAGGAGGCAGTAACAAAAATACAGAGTATTGAGAGAGACTCAAGTGGTATACGGTTTAACACAGAACACCGGGGTTACAAGCGCATTTTTTACTTACGCACCACGCACTTTTCGGTGCCAACAACACACCCCAGCCCATCTTTACTTGCCGAGAGGCAATTTCGCACTGTCCTTGTCCTAAGCTAAGTCCTTTAAGGCGGGGTGAAGAGAGATTATAAAGGAGAGGGTCGTAAACACATTAACACGAAAGGGGACGATCTGAGCACACAAGTTGATAAAATAACTAAATACGATTACAATATTATAAACAGGTTGTTTGTACGACATACTGCCCCCCGTTGAAGCACTAGTTTAACATTATAAAAAGCATTAAAAAAGAAAACATAGAAAACAATATGAGTACTAACAAACAAGTTCATACAAACAATATATGAGTAAAAATACTAAACCTAATAACATTAACATAATCCTTCACTAGAAAGGAGGCACAATTTTGTTATCGTGCGTTTGAAAATCCCATCCTTGGTTTTAGCCGATGCAATTCTCACTCGGCCATCTTTACCCGGAAAAACTTCCATCACTCGTGCCAATGACCAATAGAGAGGAGGGAGATTGTCTTCTTTAACTAGCACAAGGTCATTGGGTTGCAAATTTTTGAATGGGAGAAACCATTTTGGACGATTTTGAAGTCGATTTAGATAATCAGTCGACCACCTTTTCCAAAAAAGTTGCTGGAGCTTAAAGAGATTTTGCAAGGCTATTTTCCGGAATAGATGTATACTCCTGGTCGGGGAGCGAGGTGAGAGACTTTCCAATTAAGAAGTGACCAGGAGTAAGATATGTGAAATCGGAGGGATCATTAGAGAGGGCACAAATGGGCCGAGAATTAAGTACGGCTTCAATTTGGGTAAGTACGGTACTGAATTCCTCGAATGTAATTTTGAGATTGCCCAATAATCTGCAGATATGATGTTTAGCGCTGTTTATAGCGCTTTCCCAAAGTCCTCCATGATGAGGAGATCGAGGTGGTATTATTTTTAACCGAATTTGAGAGGAGGCTGAAAATTCCTGAATGGAAGAGTTAGTTTCCTTATTTTTCAAGAAATTATACAGTTCGAATAACTGATTTTTAGCACCAAATAAGTTGGTCGCATTATCAGAGAATATAGTCTGT